TGCTCACGATTGCTCCGTCGGAATTTTCGTTTGCTCACCCTTGGTTCAAAAGTTGTACGAAATTTAAATTTTGGGGGGCCAACTTCACGCTAGCCCCCCAATATTAAAAAATCGAATATTTTTTTTTGCATTCGTTTGCTCATCCTTTGCTCACGATTGCTCCGTCGGAATTTTCGTTTGTTCACTCTTAGTTCAAAAGTTATACGAAATTTAATATATTAAAAAATCGAATATTTTTTTCTGCATTCGTTTGTTCATCGTTTGCTCACGAATGTTCGCATTCGAACGGAATGAGCGCAAAAGTTTTTTTTTTTGCGGATATAGGTAGCGCATAAATAGCGCATTATTACATAATAATATATTAAGTTCTAAATTTTTTATTTTCTCAATTTTATTATATTCAATAAACATTGATGAGCTCTATCTTATATTTTGCATGTTTATGCGAGTGTAGCCTTTCAACACAATAACCCATTGAATTAACAGATAAAGAGAAGAGTCCAAGGTTAAATATTTATCATAATCCATTATAGCCCATCCATTACGAGGCAATGGATCTATGAGATATTATAATTGTTCATAATATACGTTAATATATTTAATACTTTATGCGCGATTACATAACCATAAAGATAAGTGTAGTCAAACATTAAAGAAGTTACAGGTAGAAGAGAAGAGATAGTATTATGTATAGGTATAATGACCTCTTAAAATTTTCGCTATTAAATAGCAAATTCTAGAACAGTGATTAATTATAAAATTATTTGTTTAATAGCCCGCTGTTACACAATAGCGTTAATATGCCAATACACAATAGCCGATATTTATTATAATGCATTTTCGAGCATTTCAAAACGTTTTGAAGGTACATTTTGTAGCATTTCATTATACACATTTCCGCATTCTTTTTAAACTTAAGCTTATTGTTACACGAATATATGTATACTTGAGTGTTTTATTCGTTTTTTAATATTTTATTGTATTGTATTCATTTTCGAGTTATGCAAAGTTAAACAATAGCCTCCTAAACATAATACCACCTTTTCTTCTATACATTACAGAATATTTTACTGCCATATTTATTACTTTCATAAACATTTGTATTCAAATAATTATCATTTGTCAATAACAACTCTTTCATAACTAGATATATCTTATTCATAAATTCATTACCTCAAAAATAAAATACAAGATAATTAATTACTCACCGGTACGATGCGCAACAGCAGAGTTATACAATATATACAACGTTGATCTGTAACAAATACAAGTATATTAAAATTAAAAGAAATTTAAATTTGTTTAAAATGAATTTATCGACGAATAATTAATGTATACAAAAATATTTTTTAATCGTAATTTTAACAAGTATTTAATAGAAGAATTACATATTTTTTAAATGAAATACACTTTTTTATGTATTAACTTTATAAAATTTGAAAAAGTCTAATCCGGATGAAATGTAAATTTTGAATTCTTTGAAATATTTTAGATGCATTTATTAATATTATATAATGTATATATTATTTATTATATATATATGTATTATATTATGTTAAATATAAAAAGTATGTTAAATATAATATAATATTTATATAAAATTTAAAAAATCTTATACTCTAACTCTAAAATATATATTACACACATAATAAATTATGTGCAGTATATTAGTTGCTTTCCATTTACACACAAGTGAAACCGAGTCTGAAATGAGTTGAGCTGAGTATTTCATATTCAGATCAATTACATCATTATTTGCTTATTTTGGGAAAAAATTATCACATAACAACACTTTTAAAGTGAGTTTACGCAACTCGCTAAAACACACGGGTCTCGATAGTTGCTCTCCATTTATACCGATAATTCTTGTAACGTCATAACTTATTGTTAGTTGAATACGCATTCCTTTTGTACTCTGACAAGTGAGATTTAACTGAGTTTTTGCTAAGAGGTAAACCGCTGAGGGCATTACGGTGTACAAATTTGGAGAATTATTGGACATTACTTGAGAGAATTGTGTATTATGATAAACGGTATGAGGTTATGCATTATTAGGGCATTAATGAGCATTACTGGGGCATTAATGAGCATTACTAGGGCATTACTAGGGCATTAGTGGGCATTACTTGGGCATTACTAGGCATTAGTAGGCATTGGTGTACACAATTTTGGTCAGTGGCCCTTGGTTTTTGCCTATAATCTGCATAAGATCGAGACCATGTGCTTTAGTAAGTCTCATAAACTCACAAAAGTTATCACATGACAACACAGATTCATAACCTCACTTTTAATGTTATGAACCTGTGTTGTCATGTGATAACTTTTTACCAAACAAAGTAAGCAAATAATCTGAGTATGAAATACTCGGTTCACTTCAGACTCAATTTCTTGTGTGTAAATAGAAAGCAACTGATCTTGTGCAAATTATAGGCAAAAAGTCAGTTAAATCTCACTTGTCAGAATGCAAAAGGAAGACGCATTTAACTGAGTTATGACGTCACAAGTGAGAATTATCTGAGAATCGGTATAAACGGAAAGCAACTACATATTATATCACACAGTTTAAAATGCATACGGCGCAAACGAATAATTACTTCTATCAACGAATAATGGAATAGATTATGAAAATCTTACCTCGCGGTTGCTCCACCGTCACCCGATGCCTCTCCGAGTCTTCTCCTTTCTCGTTTCCCCATTGTTGCTTCTTCATAGCACTCACATTATCTCACACAACATCTGTTCGTGAAAATACGTTAATTACGATTAAGCATGCATTAATCACTACAATACAACGACCGCAGCACTCCGTACGACACTCTCGATATTAATCGCACACGACGGGTACTTAATCACATTGCGACAGCAGAAAAATGGAACCACATGAAATTACGAAACATTCGATACCCGCGACTCTCGCTAATGAGGCACGAACGAAACTAACGACGCATCTAAGATGGCGACCGGATCGGTCAACTTTAAGGCCGCAGCACAGACTTTTGCATAACGCGTAACGCATAGTGCATAACCCCGGATCTACAATAGGTGTTTTAAGCCTTAAGCCGTAAGAAATTGACCAATTACAGTCGAATTCGAGAAGAATAATCAACTGTGATTCGTCCATTTCTTATGGCTTAAGGCTTAAAACCCTATTGTAGATCCAGACTTAGGGAATTAACCAATCGAAATCCTTCTTTTCCATGGAATGAGAGGAAAGGAAAGCTTCTGATTAGTGCGCGGTCAACTTCACGCGGGAGGGACTACTTATTGCCGCGACAATACGACTATAGGTGCGTTCGGGGAGTCGCTATTAGCGCTATTTGTCAAAGGCATAGAGAATAGACTGCGCGATCCGTAGTGTATCAAATGTGGCTGTCTGCCACGGTCCCTCTCTCATCCTTATCGAAATTGATTTCCATTTTGACACACGGATCGAGCAGTCCATTCTCTATGTCTTTGCTATTTGTGTCATTCCGTCCTTGTTTTACGTCTAATAAACAACAAAGATAGAATGACAGAGTAGCGTTTCCCCGCATGCGCCATATATTGTAGTTGCACTTTAATTTATGCATCATCAAATTTTGAATAAGAAATACTTAATATACGCTCGCGTTTTATGACTAACGTTATTATATTGTATTGCATCATGATACGAATAAATAAATATTGAGTTAAATTTAAAAATAAATATCCACACAGAATGCAACATCTGAAAATATGATAGTTTCTTTGCCGACTGCTCGTGTGAGAAATTTCAATAAATTTTGAATTTTAGCAAACTACCAAAATATACAAAATCTATGCGCAATGATATTGCATAATATTGGGATACGATGAAAAACAGGATTAATAACGATTATATTTACCGACCGTGTTGTGCCTCCGTTCGAGTTGAAATCAATCCATTTCGTACTCATGACGCTACGTTTATGAGAAAAAAAAGTGGCGGCAATTTCATGCTGACACCACGCATGTCAAATTAATGGCTAATAAGGATACAATTTATCAACCAAAAATACACAACGGAATTATTGCATGTGTAATACATTCCAGATTTCACATACACGTTATTATTATTATTATTATTATTATAAATATCGTATCAATGTCGGTCGATTTATCATAGCTTGTTAACCGAATCACTCTCTGGTTCTATCCATGCATTACTTTCGCGCTTTCGATTGGGAGATAGCAGGCAAATTGCATTTAAATCACTGGAAAATTCAATGTGCGATGAGAAATGTGCCCAAATCCATGCAGCGTTAAACGTATGATTATCCATCCACAACTATTGCAATAAAGCAATAATACACGATAGATAATTTATTTGACATAATCGCTTATATAGGATAAAAATAAACTATAAAATCCACACGTAGACAATCTATAATGACAAACTGCTTTATTTTTTGAGAAGTTAAAAATTTGAAGTATAAATTTTATTTTTGTTTTATAATCGAAAAATAAAAATTAAATAAATCTCTTAATATTATTAGACATCAAAACTTGCTTTGACCGAATATAACCTTCTTCGCTTATTTGTGCAGTTTCTCAATATTATATTTTCCTCCTTCAAATTTTACTATAAAATAAAATCATATTGATAAAAAAAGAATGAGTAGCGAGACTTTTCAGAATCTAAAATTTTTTTATTTATTATAATTACATAATTTTGTTTTTTAAGCAAAAATTGGACTTAAAATAGTAATAATAAATTTATTTATATAAATGACTTTTAGATTAAATAAATAATAGATTGTATTCTTTAAAAACAGCTAAATTTAATCCGCAATATCTATTCAAATATAGCGCATTCAAATTAATTAGGAATGTATAGAAGAGAATATTTTAAATAACTTTATTGTATAAAGCGTTAAATATTTTGTAATATCAACATATCGACTGACTTTTGAGCGTAAACATATAGCAACCGAATTACATGATAACATAACGAAAACAAACCGCGATAAAATATTGATAAACACTTATAAAAATGAACGGTTAGATAGAATGATAGTCACGAGAGCAAACATTCAAAAATTATATTTGGGAAGCTTTTACACTACCTTGCTTATGCGCGAAACAGTTTTGTTCAAGAGTTTAACGTTTGACGCATAAAACGATCTGCTAATTCTGTTTCTTGCAAATGACACTGTTGCAATGTCTCTAGGTCTTCGCAAGATGCGTATAAATTAAGAGACGATTCGAAACTTAACGTTTTCTCAAACATTTCACTCTCTTGGTACGTCGATGTTTCGTCCGTGGCGATCCCTTTCTTCGGGCACATGACAGGATGTTTCAAGAGACTCTCCTGTGTAACGTTATTCGTCTCAAGGATCCTCGAGCTTTCACGGTTCTACGATAAACGAGACGAGGTTACCCATCAGCGATGACCTTCGAATCGCTGTTGCTCTTCTACGGTCCCTCCGCTCCATTACAGAGATACGCGAATAATTGCGCAACGTCCTCCGACAGAAAGTCAGCCGGGGTACCGAAATGGGCGAAGTCGCAAAAGAGCTCAATTTACCTTTGATGCTGTGGCGTCCCAATCTTTCAAAGGAGGTAAGAAACATTTTTGAGCGACGGCGCGTCTCGACTGTGAACACAAAGAGGATAAGTGCTCGCGGGACGAGTGGGCGAATCGCTTTGATCGGATAAATAGGAAGAAAAGACGGAAGAATCAAATGATATTCACGGTCTGTGATTTTACATTTTGTTCCGTGTCGTCGTCGAACCTTCTGAGCCTTTTCAGCGAGAACGTTATAGCTCAAACATATTTTACTTTAGAAATATGAATCGGCGCCACACACGAGGAATACGATGCTGACATTGAACGATAAAATGGGAAATAAAATAAATAGTATAACAGAGATACTTTTTTAAAAATTACTATATTTTTTATAATCTGAATTGAGTTAATTTCTTTTTTTTATTGAAGAGAGTAGAATGTGGCAGCTTGGAGAAATATTTAAGTATTAGATACATTAAAATATATATATATATATACACTAACTTCGTTTTTTTCCAAAGCCAGATCGAATTAAAGAAAATAAAGCATTACAAATTAAATTGTAAATAAAATCAATAATAATTTATTTTTAATAAAAATAGAAAAGGCAAGGCATAAATTAAGCTGCGATTAAAGCCAATAGTAATTAATTTTTTTCAAGAATTAAAAAAAATTAAACTTTCATGATTAATATCGATGGTAATTTATTTTGTCCAAAATTAAATATTTAAAAAGGTAAAACATAATTTAAACTATGATTAATGTCAGTAGTTTATCTTTTCCAAAATCAAAATTTAAAAGGCAAAGCATGAAAAAAAGCTGCAATTAGGGAATTGATATTAATTCATTTATTCCAAAATTAAAAGTAAATTAAGCTGCGATTAAAGTTGAGTGGATCTAAATATAGCTGAATATCACTGCTATATCACGGAAAGATCGATGTCAACCGAATGAGAGATGCGTCCTATGTAGGTATATTGTGTACTCGTGTACTACAAGAAACAGACTACAAATGAAATTTCTACCGTAGTATGCGAGTCACGAGGCTACTTCTCCTTGTGAGAGGCGTAGCATAGGTTCATCCGCGTGTGTATAAGAGCCGCCCTATGTTCCCCTTGTTCGCTTCTCATACCCTCAATTTCTGCCTACACTCGTGGTCGTTGTGGTTCGCAGTAGTAGCTTTGTACGTATAATTGAATTTACGTGCGGATAACGGTACTTTAGGCCACTTCTACACGGACTGCTCGTCTGTTAGCTCGACAGTGATCCCGTCTTACATTCCGTATGCGAACCTAATCGTCAGAACACCGGAGATTCGACGGTGAATGTATAAAATAGTAAGAAAATGCAACACATATCTACAGGCAATAAAATATAGCGTACATTTTTAAATCGTGAAAATCGTAATGTAATGCGCTAGATAGCCACGACAAAATTGTGGAAAAATTTCGTATGCAGAAATTTTATGTGTAGAAATTTCATTTGCTGCAAGTGCTGAATTATTTTTCACCAACACTCTCGCTGGTTCACGCTACAATTTTTACTGTATTCTGTATAATAATTTGTTGATGTTTACATTTTATGCAAATCGTATGTAAATCGTAAGCTTTCGCCGCAAAGCTGAAAATATAATCTCAAACAATTCGAAAAATGTTTGGAATCGGAATCGGATTAAATTAAATTTTTCGCCATTCTCTCGTCAAATATTGTTTCTAATTTAGCGCTCGATTCATTAAAACACACGAGAAACAGTCTCGCAAACAAACGTTACAGCGTACGTTCGTTAAGGGAACTTCCAGATGTTAAAACAATATTGCGTATCATTTCCGCAGCGTTGATCAAGATTCGGTATTCGCATGAGGAAATTGTAGGATTCGTAGCGCATGATACTCGCTACGTCGCCTACTTCAGCGAACCGATGTACCGTAAAATTAACATTATTTTTATAATACAGAAAATGTTAAGCGCATACTCTGATGATAATAAACAACGTAATTGCGCTGTGTCGTCTGTTCGTTAATTACCGCTATGTAAAATTTCTATTGCTTAATTTGCAAAGTTTAAGCATAAATCGAGCCTTAACGTAACGGGCGGCATAATACTACACTACCGTAGTGTACATACAGTAGATTCTTCCGACATTGGGTCGGCCAAGTAGAAACAGACGTAACGGCAACGGCGGCGCGGCGTTCCGCGCGAATAATCGTTAAGCTCGAACCTTTGTAATCTCGCGAGATCAGGTCGTGAGCGCATTCCCGGTTGAAATGGAATAATTGAATACAAGTTGCCAAAGTGCAATTGACTTAGCCGCGGCCGATACGAAACTAAGTTATTCTCGGGAATTGTATCCCGGGAGTGGAGCGTGAATGGAGGGATCTCCCCCGACCCGGCAGAATTTCATTCTACCGTTATGAATATTTTGTCCCGACGAGACTCTCCGCAGCGCGTTCCCGATATCTTTCATCTTGCGAAATCGCAACGCGTTTTCTAACGTTCCACCCCGTTCTCTCCTCTCTCTCGATGCATAATAAATTTCATACATAAGAGTACCGGAATTGCCGTGCGCCGGCGCCGTTGCTGTATATGAATTGAAAATATCGAGCTGTAATATAGATAAAGCTGGCAGACTGAGAGGACAAAATTTATACATATAAATAAAAATATCGTCAAGTATTAAAACTACCTTCCATTGCGCAGATTCGAGATTTAATTCGACCTTTAGACGTTTTATATTTTGAACAAAACACATATCTAATTTAATGAACGGCTGTATAACGTTGATTAATAAAAGACAAAATCGATGCTTATTTTTGATCCATCAATATCATACTGTCATTTGTTTATCTTGATTCAACTCTGACCTCGCGAATAAATAAAATAATAGTTGTCAATATTTAATAGTTAGAACGCTGTCGCAAAATTAAACGAGGAATTGATGTGACAGCAAAAGCGAATGGATAATGACGGGTAGAACAAGATACGCTACCGTAGAAAGACAGAACGAGCAACAAGATGGAAAAGGAAAGAGGAAAGAGAAAAAGAGAGAAAGAGAGATCGAGAGGGAAAAAAGGTGATCTCAGCATTGTTAACGCGGAGGCGGTACGTACGTAATTAATTTCGTTTATAAATCTTGCGGCCGGTCATTACGAGGCTTGACTTTCACGAGTGTGCCGGGTAAAACGAGCCAGCACCCGTCAGCAATGCCTCTTTTGCGTCCTCTAATTGGCAATTAAATATCGACCGTAACGGGACCGAATGCCATCGATGCTAATTTATCAAGCACGAGCCGCGGCTCGGCCATTATTTTTTTACAGCATTATATTCCACCGAACCGCCTCTCGGCAACTCGATCGTGATTAGCGATCCGCCGCAACTCGCGGAAAAGAGACGACAGGAACGGGAAATACAATTACGACTTCTCAGTTATGCACAATACAGCACAATGCGCGTCCGGGTGATGGCCGGACACTTTCCGGAATTTCATTTCCGATAATGCTCAGATTCTTCGAGCGAGAATAGGAACGATTGGATGTGGGATAAGATGCCTTCGCTAACTGGGCGGGCGTCGTACGACCACGATCGAAGATCTATCTGACACTTTGCGCGTGAAAGTCCGGTGGACGTGGGATGTGTTCGTTTAAGCTACGTAAAGTCCACTATGCTATTCCCGATATCATCGTTTATCCTCCTCGAAACTTGCAAACCATTATACTAAATCAATAATACAGTTTAGTAATGTAATTTAAAAATGTATGAGTCTCGTTTCAATACATTATCAAAAATATTAAAAATTTCATAGACTGTTCCATTATTACGTTTAAATATCTTTGTAAAATTTAAGCACACTTCTCTTATTAAGTTAAAATTTGTTTAATTTTTTTGTTTGTCTTGATTCTTATGTAAAATCGCATTTTGTAATACTTATTTGCGTATGTGATGGAGAAGTAATATTAAAAATTAAGTCAAACTTTATACGTATACTAATCAAATAGTAATAAATATTTGTGCAAAAGTTTATTTGGATTCATTTATTCATTTAAAAGTTTTTGATCTAAAACTGCAGAAAAAGATAATTATTTTGTTGCATATCATTAAAAGCTAAACTTGTTGTTTTATTCTTTTGCAGTTTCAGGACATATTCACACGGGCTAATATCATTAAGATTGCTTAAATAATATATATTGGCTGATATTAGCTTATTTTAGCTGATTATTTGATTTAGTTAATATTGCATAGCTAAAGCATCCTTAATATCCATAAATATAAAAAAAATTTTCCCTTTTAGAAAGTACATAGAAAATAACTTTCTTAAAATTGACTTTAATGCGCGTTTCCAAAGTATTTATATTTCCTTTCGCACGATCGCCACGTGTAATTTATACAATAGATATATGGGCGTTATCTAGAGTTATGGAGAGGATTTTAAGGGTTCAATCCCTCGAAATTTCTTATTCATTTTTTCATTTTTAATTATAAAAAGGTACAACTTTTAATTTTTTATTTTAAGTAAACTTCTTGTTGTCACATAAACAATTTTTCTTCCCTTTATATTATACTATATAAATATTTTCTGAAACTACTATTAGAGCTTTAACAGAATGATACAAAGTCCGATACATAAAGGAAATTTGCAAGATTTTTAAGCCAAAATACACAATATGCACTGAAATATATTAATGAGTACTTTATTCATAATTACATATTTTTATTAACTGTATTTTATCTATACCTTTTTAGGAAAAAAGTAAAAGTTATAATATTTACAAAACATAATATTTTTTCCATTTAAAATCAAAAACGAAAAGAAAACATTCTAAGCTCCAAAATATCTAAAAAAGCAATTTATTAAATTAATTGCTGTTTTTATGTGATAACAGAATTGATAAAATCTTCCCCTCGAAAAAAAACTCTTGGATACACCCAAGGATAAATAAATAAATAAATAAATACGAGTATGAAAATAGAAAGAAATAAAACAGAAGTTTAAAGCAAATAAATAAAAATCTTAAAGATTTGCTACCGTCTTTGCGTTGAAAAATAGCATAATTTGCGATCAACCGCGTAAACATGAACAGACAACGATGCAGTTTGTAGTAACAGCGCAGCAACGGCATAACCGTCGAAGCTATCAATTTACCCTCTCATGCCTAAGATAAACCGCGATCGGTAATCCATCCAAACGTGCGGATCGCATCGTCGTACCTTGAATCTTCTCGTACGCTGCAGTATCTGCTCGCGATTGCGCGCGCTAACCGAGTCCCCGTACGATCTCCGACGCATCAGCCATTCTCTCTGCAACAACAAACAACCCCTGAAGCTACTACTACTACTTCCACTACTACTACTGCTACTACTACTACTACTAGCATAGTCACTACATCTGTACTATTACTAATATCACCAGCCCAGTCTGGTAAAACTTTCAAGCTAAACACGCCGGTGCTATGTCTGACTAAAGGCTTTATTTACTTTTTGCGAGAGTTCAACGACAAGGAGGATAACCCCTCCGACTCGCGCGCATACCTCTGCACTTGTGTGCACTCGCGAGTATACCGGCGCCCGCAAATTTGCGGATAGATGTGGTTGTGTAGATTGCTGTTTGCCATGAAGAGGCATACGCCGACAAAAGTGCGAGTAAACACAACGTACGGGTAATATCTCTCGGCATATACGTACAACGAAGTTGAGTGTCGTACTCTGATATATGTATATCATTTGGTATGTTTATACGTCTTTGCGACGGCTCACATAAACAGTACGTTTCCATTATTAATCGTAATATATTAGTAATGTATTTTAATAAATAAATTACTAATAAATGTTTAATTATTAATATTAAAGTCTACTTAAACTGAGCAAATTGAAGATATAAATAATCAGGCAGACACTATCACGTTTTTAATCTGAGAATAGTCTCTTAATTTTCTTTTACATAAGCAATCACCTTGGAAGTTTTGTACCTCAATTGAAATCACATTATTAATAATATTATGTATTATTAATTGTTTTCCGATTTATTAGTATTTCGAGACATGAATATGCGATTTAATCACAATGTTCTGAAAAATGTAAAGATAAATCAAATAAATATTAAATAGAATAAACACGTTGAATAGCTTATTATGACAGTATTTTTAAAAAATCAATCAATTATTATTAATACAATGTTTTTTTATGGACTTGCAGGTTTTTGATCGAATTGAATATTTAAAGAATAATTATTAATAAAGAAGGAAAATATATATGTTAAACAATATCCACATACCAACTGATAATTTTTTCGTTGGCGAGTAAAAATATCCCAAGTAACTGTTCTCGGATTAATGAAATATAAGCACAACAAAATTAAAAGATAATAATTTAATAAATTGAGTATTCAATACAATATCACTTTTATATAATACAAAATAAATTCTAATTACTAAATATTTATCTTTATACATATTTAGATAAGTATATAGATAAGAAATATTAGCCTAATCTATAAGTACTTGTCTAAGAAAAGTTTAAACAGAGATACATTCAGAGCAAAATAATTTCTTTATCAGTAAGTATTCCTAAATATCAGAAATTATAAAGATCTCAAAAACCGCAGTATACGATATATTTTTAGAAGAAGTTTTAACGTGTAAACTGAATTCATTATTAATATCGATATAATATTTACAATTAACGAAAAATATTTTAGATTTAATAAGTCATATTTAGTACTGGATGTAATATTTAAACGTTTCTCGTTTTAGTTACAAACTATTGCACTCAATTCGGTCTTTGTAGGCGCAATGAGATCGATCGATCGAGGTCGTACCGAAAATCGCGGGCTGCCAACTCGACCCACTCGAATCTGATACAAAGTAGATTATGCAAATGCTCATCGGGGTCGATGACAGAGAAACCGGCAAGCAGGTTTAGGATGGGACAGCGGGAAGAAATATAGAACGGGATGGACTGAGTGGTGAACGAAGAGAAAAATAAACGTGACGATCGAGAGAGATGGATAGAGGGGAAAGGAAAAGCAAGAAGAAATTGCATCTGGCAGAGGGAACGGATCGAACGGCATCACGTTTAAAAAATGGATAACTCGAACAAACAACTTTTCGTATTTCATGAAATATGCGATACGGATACGCTGCATACCGATAAGTGACCACTGAATGATTGATCACAGAATTTATACTATTATTATGTGTATTCACATAAAAAGGAGTATAACTGTACTATCATCATACAATGTTGAATAAGATATATATAATATTACTATTTATTATAATTTAAGTAATAATACACATCAAATGTTATGACATTATAGCTATATTAAATACATATCGCAGTAATAAAATTACATTTTATTACATAGATAAGCTGAATAATAATAATAATATAAACTATTGTATAATTACTAATTAAAATAACTGCTAACTGAAATTAAAGGTCATTCGTACCCGTTTTAATATTCAGCGATATTCCTTCAATTCCAGCGGTGACACCTCAATGTTAACGCCGAGGACAATTAATGCAGCGCACAATTACCGCGGGTGCGATATTAACGCAAAGCTTTCGGGAGTCGCTATAATTATGGACATGCCGGTCTCACGCCTTAGCCGCCGCTGTCATCCGCGGACACCTCGTCCGGCTTTACTCGCCGGCGTTTCATTTAAACTACCCTCGACGGCGATAGCGATGCCAGTGGCGGCTTCGTCGGGAACAAATTTGCTCCCGTATATTGCTGTACTTATCTGCTCTCGTACCCGGGCGGGCCCGGTAATCCCGGATAATAGCCTGCGAGTGTACAACGAGCGCTCGCGCTTATAAGAAACACCTGGATAAAAGTCCCGCCTGGTCTTCTTTTTTTTTCCCTCTCTTTCTCTCCCTTTCTCTTTGTCTCTCTTTTTTTTCTCTCTTCCTCTTTCTTCACGGCGTTCGCCGTTAGAGCGGAAATTTCTGTTCGCCTGTACTTGGACGTTGTATCGGCGAAGTTCGATTGCGCAATTGAAGCTTTTTACGGCTTTACGTGTCGCGATTCTCTACAGCGTCTAATTGCGGACAACGTATTGGCGTGACGCCGCCCTTTTGCGATACCTTATATAGAGCGCATTCCGTTCTTTCGTCTGATAGGATTCTTTGATCAATTTAAAGTCAATTTTTAATCAGCGACGGTTTAATTGAACTCTCTATCTTTGGTCCTCAATCATTCAATTAAAGTACGAATTTCAATGTCATTGAAGTTTGTTTAAGTTGTTTCCACTTGATACTAATCGAACGTTTATCTAATTTATATAAATTATTTATTGTAAATAATAAAATTATTTATTGTAAATAATAAATTTATAGATATATAATTTATTCATACTTTTATAAATCGGTTATAGATAATATAAGCTTGGTTCAAACAAAACATTTTTATTTAATAAAATTATCTCTTGTGTCTTTTAATAGACGAATATACATACGCTTTCCATTTTTAATGTTCTTTTTCGACTAATGTATTTTAAAACGTGTTATATTCGTTTACACAATTCTAACTTTCAAAAACACGTGATCAGGAAAGCGTAAAATACTACTGTATTTAATTTTTACAATACGAAGTTAAAAGCTCAAACTTTTTTTAAACAATTTAACAAAATATTTGTCTTGTAATTAATAAAACTTGAAATATTTACGTATATATGAATTTTCATAAAGAGGTAACACCCAAGATAATTTATATAATCAAATGCGGTAAATATGCATGCTCAAACGAGTTTTATGAGCTCGTTTTCCGGTTGACCCGTGACGCTTAGTAAAAGAAGATGACGCGTGACATCTTCGTTCTTTCTCGTCCGCAACGGGAAGGCGAAGCACTTCGAAACTTTTTACCGCAGGCTCAGCATCTCCGCTCGTGGCTTCGAAGCGATGCTGGGGAGTCCCTGTGACGCAATAATGAAGCACTTCCGTTTATCCCGGGGCGCGTTTAAAGAGAAAGAGTTTCCGACGTCTCGAGATGGGCGATGGAACTGGCGCTACCGCGATGGAGCCTCGTGAAATTTTAATTTCCAATCTGCTAAAATTGTTTCCGCGAAAACAACACGATAGGGGGAGCACGACGGGCCACACTCGGAATTCCGCTTCCTTCCAGATACACGAGCGAACAAACATCGATCCGCGCGCAGACGGCTACTGATATGTGTAAGAAAAATCTTCCAGAGAGGATCAAGAGAAAGAATAGAGCGAATTTATCGGAAGTCTGCCATTTTTAAGTAACCTTTGGTAACAAACGGGACATTTAACCTCTTTGAACTTCGGATTAGTTCGTGTTTCAATGTACAATTGCCAGTACTAAATATCAAAACTGAAAGAAATACATGGGGTGGTTTAGCAAAGCTATATCTTGCTACGCGAGTTCAACATCTATAACTAATTGCAAGAAGATTTAATGTTTCAACAAAGAAATTATGTCTGTAGACAATCATCAGTATGCTAATTCAACTAATTTTTTGCTATATAGAAAGAAAATTGCTAATGTAACAAGTTTTCTTTATTACAGCAGCAAAAGTACACGGCATTTTAGCTGGTACGTTTTGTTAAAAATTTTGATCTATGTATTGGGTTGATTTCCACAGAAAGTTATCTTTGCTGTATAAACAAATTTGTTATGCCATTGCGCAGCAAATATGATTACCTATAATCGTTAATTTTATTCAACTGTGTAACTTTGCTATATTTTAACATGCAAAAACCGACTGTCCTTATATAATGATTGTAGATTTGCTGAATCAGTAAAGTTTTTAGTTGTTTTAACCAATCTTTTTTTTCCGCGTGTATGCATTTTTGCGGAAGTAACCTGAAAATAGCGGAACCAATCAGAATAGAGAACCCTATCTGCTCCACTCTCCTTTGATTCTCTCTGGAGTCTTTGCAGTAAGGTAAGCTTGTTTTCCGTGCGTTTCGCCGACCGCGCAAGAAGCGTCTTGAAAAATTTACAGAACGCCCGCCCTCCGCCAGTCGAGCCGGGCTGAGACGTTCAAAGACCGCGGGAATTTACTGCGTTCCCTCCAACTATGAGGACGACAGCTATTTTCCTGCGTCGCGCTATGCACCTGCCGTTGCGCGCGGCGATCCACAACGAGAGGATTCGTGTGCGAAATTCCGCGACGTCGCGACTGCCAGACCTGAAGAACGTCGCGTCGGCTGGAATGTCATTTTACGAATCTGCAGATGTCACTGATAAGCGGCATTCCCCCTTTATTTATTGCGTATCTAATTTACGAAATTTGCGTTATCGATTGCGGAGGAACGCAAGAGAAAGACATCCCTTTCTGCAAAATATTAATATCCGGATATAGCTCTATAATATGTGATACTTGCAGTTATCGACGACTTAGAGTGGACTCTCTGAGGTCGTATAAAAAGTATATATTAAAACAGTAGCGTGTATAGGAAAGCTTTGAGTGAAGATAAGGAAGTTCGAAAATGAAAAATGCGCAAAGGCACTGAGGTCCTAAGACACAAATTAGGTGCTTGTATTTTAGAAACATCAGAAACTATGAAGTTCCCATCTCTCGCATTCCGGCAAAATTGATGAAAAATTATATTTTATAAAGGAAAAGGATGCACGTGAGGCCAAGGAAAGCTCGCGCAAGGAATATTTTACAAGTCTTGCGAGAAATAATTCAAAAAATTTTCGCTACAACAGTTTACCCCAGACAATTCCACTGCTACCGAGAGACGCACGGATGTAACGTACTCTCGACTTTTACGTCGCGAAGAAACGATTATAGCAATTAGCGGATTAAAGTACTTGGCGAATTGAATTTTTCGCTTCGGTGACAAACTGCGAGGTGCTTCTTGCGCGTCCGCGACGCGTCTTCCAGAGACAGATGAGGAAGACTCGTCGGCGTGACGCTCATCGTCACGCGCGATTGTCGGGGCTGCAATTTGTCGTACGCAGCTCCTAATTTGATATTGTGTATCTGCGCCGAGAGGAAATAGGGAATAGTGCGCTCGATCTTGAAAACGAGTTGCGTGCTTATTAGATTGAAGCTACGAAGCACCGTACGCGTCGCCGACACAACTCCTTTAAGAAGGAATGCTGGGTCTTCCAACGCGAAAGGGTTAACTGTATCGTAGGGTCCTCGCAATACGACTCGGAGTTTCCTTCGCTTCGCTTTTCCGGCAAGGGAAGCTTTTCTCGACTGTAGCAACTTATCGACAAGGCCAGCTCGACATGAAGTAAAATCGCACGGTAAAAGTTCCCATTTCGCGAATCGAGCGCTCTCTACTTCGTGCCAAAAAGTTCTCTATGTCCATATTTCCGTATTATTTCGTCAGATCCGATACCGAATTTTCTCTTGCCGTACTAGGTATTCGAAATGGTCACTTTGCTGTATATTTTATTATCGAAACTGTTTATTCATACTGTGCTGTGTGCGACTGCAAAATGGTACAACTGAGATGACCTACTACGAGCTACATCAGTTGGCGATAAGCATCGACGATGCTGAAGAATTAATCGAATTACCGCATTAATCGAATCCCAGCGTTACGTTCCTGCGCCGTAACTGTGTAACTTCGTCGGGCCAAGAGAACATTGTTTATTAACGTACGTACTCTCGGTGCGATCCAGTCCGTAACGTAATTACCTCACATCGAGGACACCAACGGGGAAGACGCAGCAATAAACATCTAGCGAGATAAAAGGATAAGGATAAAAGAAACGGGACAAAGATAAATTCTCGCGATAAAAGCACAAGCGAACTCGGCACGCCAAGTTTTAATGACGTTCCTGAGTAATATAAAATACTTTTATACTCATTATCAAGAGAGAGCAATATAGAAAACGTGAATTTATCGAAGGGAGGAAACTTTCCTTGTCCCAGTAACTTTCATCGAACGTGCGGGCGACGGATAAGTTTTCGGAAATGAGAATTGCGTGCCACACCTACGAATCTTGCTTCAACAAATTTAATCACTAACTAAATGCGTCAAAACTTATAACTATAAATATACAACAAAATATGCATAAAAATATATGCTTTTTTTCTATGCTATGTTTTACATAGCAATCACAAAAAGCGATATTTTAGCAATACTTTTATATATTACTAAAATTATATCTTTTTTATTAAATTATTATATCTTTTTACTTTGTTGTGCTTAATTTACTATTTCGCACTATTTCTTTTTTTTTCTATCGCTCAAATTAATATCTAATCTCAGAAGGTGAGAGAAAGGTTTTTAAAGACCGGTTTTGCTGAAGTACTCAAAAATTTAACTAGATGTCTATAGATTTAAAATTAATTTTATTGTATTATATCAAAATAATTAGGACATCCAAGCATGATGAATAATGCTGCAAAAAGTTTTGACGTTCTAGAAACCAGCTTGAGCGTCTTAGGCTGGATTGTTCTACCTTTCGATAAATTTCAGCTCACTCTTTAACTCTTACTCTTTTACTTTTTTGTCCATTAGATAAATTGTTACATAATTTATCCGAATACATGGAACAACCGGCCTTTACGCAATTATTTTGATTCAACAAAATTATTTTCAGATTTGTATCTAAAGAACCCTCTACTAAACTACAAAAAACTAAAAAATATTACACTTTCAAACAATTTTTCTGAAACCACTTTTACCATATCATTAATACAGAGTCCTTTTTTTAGAATAAAAATATACTAAATTTTAATAAATATATCCATATATAAATTAATGGTTTTGTATCAAATAAATAAGTCTTTTTATTTAGTAAATATTTAGTTGGCACTATTCAAACAAGTAATTTATTAAAATTTAGTATAATATTTGTGTGTGCATTCAGAATGGCAACCGTTCACTGAACGCTTAGTGAGCTCTTTCATCTGATTGGCATAATCCATTGGAGCCTAAAATATAGATCGATCAAACGAAAGAGCTCACCGAGCGCTTATAGTGAACAGTTGTCGTTCTGAATGCACCCAATGTAATAACGTTAAATTATATTATTATCTATTTGTCGCAAAAACGCACCTTTGCCTGCACTTCATCTTTATCAGGACCCAGAGATCGATCAGGTCTCGGCACCGATAAGCTCCTATACTCCTCGATAGTATACGGACGATACGTCGGTTTCTTCAGCTTGCTGTCCGACACGCTACGTTCGCATTGCTCTTGCAGAGAGACGGTATTTGAAGTTATTCCTTGACGTAATATTTCGCAAGATCTTCTAGTACGCGTCACACGAACGGCCTGATCTTCGACAAAGCGACGATAGAAGCTAAGCTCGCTGCCGTCGTCCCTCGAGGTGCCCGGAAGGGACGAGCAACCCTCATCCAAGCTGAGCTCCTCAAGTTGACTGTCGCCACAAATCGACAGGGTAGAACCCTCCGGAGAGTGGATACGCGGGTACCTCGAGACGTCTAACAAAACAGGAAAAAAAAAGGAGCGTGGCAACCCTAACTTCCCGTTGGCGACGCGAAATTAGCCCTGACAACCGTGACGAAGAGCAGAGCAAACAATTGTCGCTTGTCATCGCACAGAAACGGTCGCACGCACCAGATGCCTCAATTAGTTTAATCATGAACTACGACCTATTGGCAAAGTCAAGAGAACGAATTCCGCGCGGAAAGGAAAAGTGACGTGAAAAGTGGAGGACAGCGACGTGAAAAATGACGCTGTCGACTTCTCGAGGCAGCGCCGGTTCTTCGTTGAAGAGAATGGCGCTTGAAAAGTTTCGCACGTCGTACTTCTATAGGATGACAGGATTTTTAGAAGCTAGGGGGCAAGATACTATCATATTTTTTACCTATTGTCTGGAAAACTCTACCTCTTTCTTAAAAAAATATATATATATTAAATTGGTAAATGAGCAAAATATTTATTAATATAAATATTTATAAATACAATATGTAATTACCATTTTAATTTTGGATAAAAGTATTTGATTACTCTAATTAATTTTGTTTTATTAGAGAAAGAAAGTTTAGAGTGACATAGTTAATTTTATTATATCTATTTTTCTCTCTCTCTGAACATGAGATGAGAGATGATGAATGTATCTGTTAGTAATAAAAGTTATTTAAAATAATAAAGTATCGAAAAAATATTTTTTTTTATAATTATAGATCCTGTCATCCTTCCCGTGCGAAAAATTAGTTTACTTTCACAATTAGGAGACAGACCTGTGCATCGCAGAAAAAAACGTAAAGCGGTTACAGTATTTCTGGCGAAAGTTTCAGATATTTTACAGGAAGCGGACGCTTAATCCCCTTTCGCAAAAATATAACTTTTTTCATCGTGCAACTTTACTGCGCCGTAATATGTAGAAACTGTGGTAGCTATGCCCTGCATCGCGCCGCGGTAAAGTCTCCCTTCGCGGCGAGCATCTCGCAAAATAAAACTCCATGCCTTACAATAACGTGTTTGAATAAAACTCAAATGTATGATTTAGTATTCCCAACCCTACAGTGTCGCTTGGACATGGGGTAAATGACAGTATATTAGCGAATAGTCGAGATTCTCATGTGCGCAACGGAGAAAAAATTTCTGACAAATTTACATGAGATCCCCATAAATTACGCAAATAAAAGCTTTTTCTTTCCAAAAGATAAAAAAAGAGAGAGGCATGGAAAGAGAGGGAGAGAGAGAGAGAGAGAGAGAGAGAACTCGCACATTCACATTTATAATTCAATGTCAATAGTTTCTCTGAGCGGGAAATTAATTCAGCTAAAAAGCTTACTTCAATTTAAAAGTTCAGAGAAGAGAAACAGACCATTTTTTGCATTGTATTTGAAATGATAATTTTAACTTTTGTATTCATGAAAATTGGACTCTAAAATTGGTACATTTGTCGCCATGCTTTCCTCATACCGGATCAAAATGGAAAACGTAGATAACACGGAGCCTAGAATTTCGTTGGCCCGTTACCTTCGCAAAATTTAAAAATCTCTCCACTTTAAGAAACGAAACGACAACGTCAAGCTATGCGACAAGATTCGTCCGTCGGATTGGGAATCTCATTGTCCCCTTCGCCCAATCTCTCTCGCGCGACGCAGAACGCACCCGACTTCTAATCACGAAAGAAAGTAAACGTCCTCGGGGGAAAATTGCACCGCTTTGCCTCGTCTTTTTTTATCAAGATCCACCGTCGGCGACGAGCGCGACGCGAGAAGCCGGCAACACGTTTCGACACTGTTCCGCGTATGTTCCGAAGAAGGATCTCGTTAGAGAGACTAACTGAATCTGCGCCGATAAAGCTCGAGATACGAGGTAGTCCTGGCCGGTCCTCGGATCCATGGTATGAGAACGTTGCCGAGTTTTTTGTCGGCTCTCATACCACCCCCGTTGTCACGCAGACTGCATTTTGACGAAGAATTTCGCGCCCCCAGGGAACATCGCTCCGTCTCTGTCGTCATCGTTGTCGTCGTTGCCATCGTCGTCGGTCTTGACGTACGACGACAACGACGACGACGACGACTCTCGTCGCCTTCTCCTGAACGCCGTTCCCCGACGTCGTTCCTCTTTCTTATGCAAAGCCACGGTTCTTCCCGAGTCGCGCGACATTCCTGTTGTCGTCGGGCGAATCCTCTTCCGCTCGTAATTATCGAATTCCTGACGCCGGTTGTTCCCGTGCATCTGTCCTCACGTACGGTGCAGTTGGCCTCCGTCATATTGTCTAAAAGATTGTCGAGAGAATGCGTGATTAGAATACGCTCTTTTGCACGGCGAAGCTGTATATTTGCATAAAAACTAAATAAACCCATATCATCGCGAAACAGGTGCTTTTCTCAACATTTTACATGAGTACAAATTGACGTAACGCAATTTGTACTCGTGTAATTTTTCCATTTATTAACATCCGCGTTTGCGCGCATTGTATTATAATTCTGTTAACTTATATAGCGCGACATAAAACATACGAGTACAAAATGTGTCTCCTTCTCCTAACACAACTCTTCTCTCTTCACAACGTTCTACCATTTATCGTTTCCGATATATTTTCGCCCGGAATATAATAAAATTCTATTATTCTCTCACACACCCCTTCCCGCATTTTTCCCGTTAGAATCAATAGCGGATTTCCTTGCCATTCACGTTACTTCCTCTCGCGCTACTTTATCCCACCTAACTTTGTCCGTCGCTTTAATTATCCCGCGGAGTTTTACATTACCGCGAACGACCAAGTGGGAGGAGGAGAATCAGCCACAGATATTACGTTTTGTATTATATAATTGGTACTGTCGTTAACGAGGCGATCGATCGCCTTTGGTTTTGCGCTCAATCCGCGAGCTCTCAGACTGCCATCGAACTTTCAATCGACTTCCCGACGACCACCGCCATATTGGTGGTACTGTGCGCTAATCATTAATTAATTAGCGCGCGTTATCTATCCATCCGTCAACGAAAGCTACGACTTTCCGGATTACGGCGAATCGCATTACGCGGATCGTCTCTCGTTGCTGCTGTCCTCGTCTTTTTTATTGTTTACGCGCCACGTATACACGTTCCCGCGCGCAATTATCTCCCGTTAACGAGGGGAAAACGAGAGCCGTTTCCAATGTAATACGATAATATAGGATTTTAATTCCGGAGCATTACCTTCAGCAGATCTTGAAGAGATATTCAACCAAATCTCACGTTATTTTTTTATAAATATCGACATTATATATCATAAGCTATTCTTTTGCCTTTTAGTTCGCGACTTTTCTTTTAATTTGATGAGGCAGATTACGTGAGGCAGAATTAATTTAGTTTATTGATCTTTTAAAAATATAATATTGTTTTCTTCAAAGAAGCAAATTTTTTGTCAAAACTATTTTAGATATTTTTTTAGATTATTATTAAATCTTTTTTTTTTTTAGAACTTTATTTTCTAAGATTAAATTTAGTACGTCGTTTTTTGTGGTACCTTTAATATGAGATAACGTTGTTAATGTAGAATTCAATCGAAATGAAGTATTCTTGCTGGATCTGTCATCGGATTTGATTGTTCCTAGGTTATCGTCATTATCACTATTGACCGAGTTACGTTTCTCCAAGGAATCATCCTCAACACTTTCTAAAGAGTCCAAAGAATATTCCGACATTGCTGCGAAATCTTCACCTGGCGCTTTAGAAGTTAATATACACGCCATAAAGCGTGTTTAGGCATTATGATATTTAATCTTGATGGATTTCCACTTTTCGTGCGGCAAACTTCTCGCGATTTTTTCTATCTATATTAGTTGACCCTAAAAAAGTGCATGCAGTAAATTGTATGCAAAATGTGTGTCAATTCCAAGAAAATTTCCACATAGCTAGTGTATTAAAGCTGGAGACCCTAATCTCTTGTAATCTTATTTTGTTTTACGTTTGAAGCAAACTGCTCTTTGAAAAAATTTCAAGGTATATACTCATTTTCCATATACCAATTATTTTGATATTGCATATAAACGAGCGTAAAATGCAAAAATTGAATTTAAGGCTTCTGACTACTCAACCAGCAACACAGAATCAGACGGCGGCCTGGCGAAACTGTAGCCACACATACAAGCGCGAGAACATGGGCTTGTGTGCGTGTGTGTGTGTGTGTGTGTTACAGCGCCTCGCCACGATAAATGGCTGAATTTATAAGCGTGGAAAAGTGACGAAATTTATGTTGCATGCCATTTCGTTATTATTTGCTTAATTGTAAAACCGTGACTTGTCTTGTACTTATCAAAGTCGTAATTATCGATAAAAACTAAAGTTATCTTGGAATTTTATATATAAAAGCGTATATTTTACTCGTTTCAACAGCTGTCAGACCGCGTGTGTTTCTGCCCGAATATAGACTCACTTTACGTGCCTTTTACGACCATTTACTAACTATCAAGGGAGGAAAGGACAGTTTTCATCGATTTTTACAACTGTTTTAAAACGATCTCGTCATTTCGTTTCATTCAAATTGTCTTTACTTATAAATGGCACGCAATATAAATTAACGTGTATGTTTTCCTTCTGACGTCACAATTCCAACAGCCGCGACTAGGCCGCCGCGACTAATCAGGAGTCTTAAAATTTAATATGTATTTTATGTATTACAAAAATTTATCTTCAAGTTTTATTTATTTACCGCCATCTTATCTTTCAACATTATTAAAAAATTATTCCTACGAAGTTGCGTGTATTATATGTCCTGAAACACACATTTATAGCCTACTTTCTATGATTTATTAATGGTAATTAGAACTTTACTTTATATTTTATTACATAATGTTATAATAATTATTAAGATATACAAAAGAATAAAAATCAATTACGATTTACTATAAATTAACCGTATGAGAGGACTGTCTTTAAGCTAACGTCTCATCAGATAGGTCGTGTTCCAAATTTACTGCCAGCACTGAAAATGCTACAATTTACGTTACGTGCACTATAGATTTTCAGTACTGACAGTCAATTTTGGAACACGGTTGGAACAATAGTAACGTATTCTAAACAACACACTCGATGACATCTCTAGGCTTTATACAGAAGCAAATTATCATTTGACGATAAGGTAGATATTTCGCTTACTTGTTATCATCCTTGTCGTTCATATAACGACTCTAATTGTTCTATATTATAACTTTGAAAAGAATATCGTCAACACCTTAGCACTAGTTGTTAACCGATTTTAATTATTTTTTGGTTAATTTTTATTTATTAATGACACATATACGTAATATAAATTTCCATAAATTTTTTGAATAGCTTGATATGAATCTTACAATTAGTAAATAATAATAAATGTATAAAATTTACAAATTATGAACTTATATGTTATATTTTTGTACATATGCAATACTTTTATAAAAATTTAAAGAAATCTCGCATTTTAATACCAGAACAAGAATAACAGATAACCCTATATTTGCCTATCTAATATTATATACACTTTTCTAAAAAAAATGTGCTTGTTTATAACAACAACGTGATAACTTAAATAAAAAATACACACAAGAATAATTTCGATGTATCTTCTCAATAAATTCAATTTATTTATACGGCAAATATTTAAAAAAACCGTATCATTGTATCTTACATCAATTATAATATTTTCACACGTTAGTATGTATTCGATTTTTGTTTAAGTGTAAAAAATTAAGTCTTTTCTAGAATAGAAAATTACATTTTATCTATATGATAACATAGAAAAAATTCTGACTGATAGTTGCATTAGACGTTGGCCTTGTTCTGATAAACATTGCCAGTACTAAAAATCTACATAGTTTATGTTACATATACTATATCTTTTCAGTACTAGCAGCGTATCACATATCAGACGACGACCATCATACATTCACAATTCACGATAGTCCGCGTCAGGCGATCAATAAAATACAAACACACGCATTGATTCCGTGTAGGAGTCTGTTACATAATTAAACATTTCAGCATTTTATGATTATCAAGTCTATAATAGCGTGTACCGAGGGATTATAGTGAGACAACTTGAGATAGAACGAGAGATAGTTTTCGTGCTGCTGTAGGAGTATCAAATGCAACTGAGCTTTATCGTTCCTAGAGCGAGACATCAAACGTAGCAGGTACCTATTATAAACTAATGTATTATGTACCAACGCTCCGTACGTAGGTATGTATGTACAGTAGAAACGCACATTAAATGCGTTTCAAGGCGATGTCGTCTCACAACAGTACACAGCTTGATCTCGTCACCGTCGGGGGAATTCTTCGCTACGTTCAGCATGGGTGAATCTAGTACTTATCGTATATCGATCCATAGTGTCCGATAAACATATTTTGACAGATATAACAAGTTAGGACGCGTGATAACATTAAAGATACTGAGAAAGACAGATTTTCACAGTAAATTAAAAGTTGACTACGTCATTCTAGCCTATCTATATGTTTCATCTTGATGTAATAAAACGATTAACTGTAAACAGAATAATTATAATAAAATCATCACTTATGTATATGATTTTTTACATTAAAAATAGTACTTAACTTTATTTTGAAATTGTTAAGTAATGTAATTAACGTATTATGCGGTTCCGCTCGTCTCTTTCGTTGAAGTGAAAAAGTGTATTGGAAATACGCATTGGAAATTTTTAAGGTGGTTCTTTAGTAAATCGAGTTGCCATAGAAATGTCTAATTTTTTTATATAATGAAGTCGAAGTACCGAAATTAACGTGTGCAAAATTCTACGGTAGGTTAATGATGAAATAAGAGAGAAAAAAATGTTGAAAATGTAACCTTAATGATAGATGAGGCTCGCAGACGCTTCTTTGACTAATTGCTTACAAATTTTACCATAGATTTTTCTCAAAAGAAGATTATAATAATTTTAAAAATTACGATTTTAATAGTCACAAAAACGACCATTCTGGAAAGATATTTACGTGCATAAATTTGCATATAAATTTAACCTCGGAAAATAAACATAATCTTATCTTGTTTCCGATGAATATGCAGCTTTTAATTTATTATCATATTATTTCATTAAGATGTGCATACAGTTTTAATATTTTATCCAAATTATGCAGATATTTGTAATTTTGGGTAGGCCCTGGAAAGGCACCTCAAATTTTCGGCACTTTACTAAAGAACCACCTTAATGCTACAGTGCGATAAATTGACGATACAACTGATGTTAGTATTTGTAAATTTTCTTATCTCGCTTCTTATTGTCGAGTCAATGTATCCAAAACTCAATTAATTCGGGCTATTAACTTTTTACACAATTGAAACGAACAGACTTTATTACCATACCGTCCAAATAAATCCGTTTAATTATGATACGTTTATTCCGACAATTATAATTGATAATCTAAATTGCAATAAGTGATAGATGTATATATATATGTTTATATATGTATATATCTATAAAGTCTTAGCAGGCTTCGATTTGTCTCTCCAGTTGGACAACGTGATAACATCAGACAAACTGGTAAATTTTTTCTTATATTGCAAAATATATTTGCTCTAAGATATGTTTAAATCCGTATAATCGTAAAAAATAATAATAAAGATCAAGTTTCTTACGAACGAACTGTTCGAATTTTAATAATAATATTATATTATTGATAAAGATTAAATTTTTTTAGTTTATTTAATAATTCTTAAAGAATCACATACACACATTCTGTTAAAAAAAAAATCATTTTACGTTGACAAATAGCACCGGAAATATATAAAAAATCTATAGGCATACGTAATAGAAATACTTATCATGAAATATTTAATAATTATTTGAAATCTACATATTGGGACAAACTAGCAATAAATACAAGGTATTTTAAAATTATAACGATTTTATAAAAAGATATATAAAAATAATTATCACGACAGATAAGCAGCATGATTTTGCTGAGTTGTCTGTTTCAATTTAATCTTGCCTAAGTTTATCAAAGAACATGGTAAAAGTGCTCGATCGAGATTTTAAATAATTATTAAATGTTTCATAATAAGTATCCAAATAACAAAAAATCTAAAATTATGACATAAGTCGTCTTTTAGACGCAAAAAATGTCTTATGATCTGATTTTAGATACTTTTCGTTGTCTGGCTATTTTAATTGTAACGGCTTTTCTTTGATATATATATATTTCCGATGATATTTATCAATATACATATACAATAATTCTTTATTCTTTGGTTATACATATTCTGCTTACTCTCTAAATCTCATGGAGTGAAATCTCACTCGAAAGTACTGAAAATTTAGCCTGTCTTGAAAAAAGATTGAAAATACGGCCACTCTACGGTCACTCTTCAAGAGCGACAGATTTTCTTTTTAAAGAATATAGAGAAAGATAAACAGATTTACTCATTTGGAATGAGATTCACTCCGAAGGAGTGAGATTCCATCTACCCTGGTATTATACTCCAAAAAAGGGATTGAGATTTCACTCCTTCGGAGTGAATCTCATTTCAAAAGATTAAATCTCATTTTAAAAAGAGCGAAAATCTGCCACTTTTAAACAAGAGTGGCCGTATTTTCACTCTTTTTTCAAGACAGACTAAATTTTCAGTCTCTTCGAGTGAGATTTCACTCTACGAGATTTAGAGAGTATTTTTAAAAAGCTCTATCACATTTGTAATTTAATGAAAAAGTTAATCAATAGGAATTTAATATAATATCTATCTAATATAATAAGAATTTTTTCCCAAACTTACTAGCACTTCGTTAC